GTATTTTTTCCCTTGATAGGTAAAGACCATGCCTTCTGGAAATAATCATCTGTATTGAATGTCATTTTTCTTCAGTAACCATGTTAATTTAGCATATTATCTTCTTTTTTCCCTAACCCTCCAGGGAATTTCCTTCAGGACTTTTATTTTGGTTTCATCTTTCATTAATGGTTTCGCATTTACTTCCCTCAGTACTTTGTCCCTTACCGTCCTCTTATAGAAGCGTACTTGTATTTCCCGTGGAACTTTCATCCGTCTTGCATAGGCTGGATTCATTCTAAATGCTTGATCGAACTCTTTTTCCACTTCATCTTTTTCCATGCCCATATGGTCTGCCAGTAATTTGGCCATCTTCCCTGACAAGTTTTCATCTTTTTCCTCTGGAATGTTCTGTAATCTTAACAAATATGCCACTTTTTCCACCTGTAATCGTATTAGCTCTTGTTCATATTCCCGTTGTTTATCTTCCATCCTTCTTGTGTCCTCTTCCACCGCTTTAAACTTCTTCTCTGTCTTCTCATTGTTTTTCTTCAGCTCTGCTATGTCCTTTGAGTTTTCCGCCACCTGTTTTTAAATGGGTTGCATACTATTTGTAAATTAGTTATTTGTGTTATTTGTCTTAAAGTTTGGTCCATCTGAGCTTTGATTGGATCCACTGCTTCGATGACCATGCTTTGCATTTCTTTTTGCACTGGAAGTGCTAATTTACTAACAGTCACCCCCCCTGTCCCTGGTGAAGATTGTGTAGTCTTAGCAGTGTGAACAGTTTTAACAGATGTCATTTTGCTGATTGTTCTCTGAGCTTTATACAAATTCTAACCAATTTTACTATTGTCTCTTTTATTTATTGTTTTTTCCCATCTGGCTGACTTCCCAGACTCTATTATCTCAGTGTCATGGTTTAAGCCCAGTTCTGGTTCACTGCCCAGTTCTGGAGAGTCGCCAGTATCCCTTGGCCACACGCCTAGACTTTGTCATTATTTGCTCAAGGTCACCGTCTTTTCCCAGTTGTTCCATACACATCCACGCTCCGTTGAACGGGGAGTCAGTTTTAAAACCATCAATAGTCAATTATAGTCAATTATGGACATAGCAAGCACTTTTAGTCTTTATTAAATTTCCAGGTCGGCTCTACCATTTTACCCCACTAATTATAATGGGCCTCCTGCCTCCCTCCTGATGGAGGGAAAAAATTGAGATCGCAGAAAGTGTGAGGACTTGCTAGCTCTTTATACATCCACAAATCTTATATCAGTTTATCTCCCAAAACTCCATCACTTCTCTTTAAAATCTCTCTTTAAATTTCCCTTGCACATCTCTTAGCAGTTTGGTAGTATTTTCCCCCAGCCATTCCGTTCCCCTCTACTTTGCCAAAACACAGCTCAAGTTGGAAATTTCTCCCTTCTGTTCTGGCCAGTTAAGTAGAATTAGAGAGATTTCCCAGTCTGTTGGGGATTTCAAATACGACAGTCTTTACTTTGAGAACACAGAGCTGTTTCTTTCACTCACGTTTCTGTGCTCAATTTAAAATCCACTTGTCAGCCTCTTGAATCACGGCAACAACAGCTCTGCCCACCACAGTGAGCTTCTTCCTCCGGCTTGCTTCAGAGCGAGCTAAATAGGTCTCCTAGTGAGTTGCCGTCTCACTGGGACCTCAGCTCAAGCCCCCTGCCCCCACTACTCCTTCCCTGGAGCGTGGGGTGGTCTATGATTGTTCAGAGACCCTTTAAGTCCGAAGAAATGATCAGTCGCTCGGGAGGGTTTCTTGACTCTTATACAGGTTTCTCAGGAGACATGTGAGGTGGGCTGGTACTCCCATCTCTTTAAGGACTTGTTACAGTTTGTTGTGATCCACACATTCAAAGGCTTCAGCATAGTCAATGAAGCAGAAGTAGATGTTTTTCTGGTACTCCCTTGCTTTCTCCATAATCCAGCAAATGATGGAAATTTGATCTCGCGTTCCTCTACCTCTTCGAAACCCAGCTTGTACTAATAGCAGTTCTCTGTCCATGTACTGCTGAAGTCTAACTTGTAGGATCTTGATCATGACCTTGCTAGTGTGTGAAATGAGTGCAATTGTGCAATAGCTTGAACATTCCTTAGCATCAACCCCACATACTTGTTTGATCTTTCTAAGTTACAAGGAAGTGCTTAAGAGTACAGCAGTGACCCTGCGTGCCTATTGTTTGCAGGCAAAGGAAATGTGGGAGTGCATATAAGTATGCAAGGAGAAACAGGTAGAGGTACAGCTGAGAGGATAGTAGGAACATTCCATCATCATCATCTACTTCATCATCAACACCATCATCATCATTTTGGTGCTTTTGAGTTGGCAGTGGGGTGTGGGAGGGGCTTGGGGGGCAACAGTGGGAGGGCTTCTAGGGTCCTGGCCCCACTGGTAGACCTCCTGGTATTTTCGGCCACTGTGTGACAGAGTGTGGGACTGGATGGGCCATTGGCCTGATCCAACATTGGCTTCTCTTATGGTCATGTTCTGTTGGAAAGGGGAAATGATTTGCTTGGTTAAAACTGTTTCTATAAATGTATTATGTTCCTGCTGTTGTATATGCTGTTTTTATTTCCTTAGGAGGCTAATTGTTATACTTTTTTTTGGATTTCATTGTTGTATCATTTTTATCTTGTAAGCAGCCTCATGAAAGATTTTTAAGAGGCAGAACATACATTTTGTAAGTAAACAAGTGTGGTGGTAACATGCTAAAGTGGTACAATTGTGGCAACTCAGACTCCAGTTTTAAATGCTCCTTTGCATTTACTCTCTACAGACAGAAAATTAGCTCAGTGAGGAAGGTTCTATCCCCTATTTGTGGTTGCTTTGCTGGTTTTCTGTTTACACAGAGATTTTAAACACAGTATTCAAAAATGGGACCATTCACCTCTGGTCTACTGCAGTCCATTTTACCACTTAGTCTACTGTTTGATTTACTTTTGTGTGTAAATGGGGCTTCTGTGTCATTAGTGAAAGTTCAGAGTCCACAGCAGGGACCACACCTTGGTGTTCTGCTTTATACATAATTCAGTTCTAAGTGTGAAATTCCCTTAGAGGATTTCCCCAGGTTTCTGCAGCATATGGACCTTCTGTCCTCTGCTTATATCACACAAATACTACTCATTTTACTACTCATAAAGAGGACAAGCTTACAAGCACTGTAAAGGCAAGATCAGCAAACGTCAGTTATCTAAACTTGGAAGTGCCTTGATTCTCCCTAGGTTGTTTTATGAATACACAATCCAGGCTAGGTCATACATTTCTGCAACTGGTTTAAAGAGTAGGACAACTAAATAATCAAGAATAAATGGGGGAGGGGAGGCTCTTTGCTTGTTTTATTGCTTATTTTAATGCTGATAATTGTTATACTTGTTTGACTTAAGATCTTTACCACACAGAAGTTGGAAATATAATTTAAGTTTTCAATCTTTTTATGTTCAGATATTTTGTTAGTGGTCGGATTTTTTAAAGGATAAGGACAGGGAGTGCTTGTCCTGATCTGTGTAGCTGATTACATGGAAGCACATCCCTTCCATATAAGCGGCTTCAGGCCTAGATGTTGGAAGATAAAAACATACTAAGTGTGATATCCAGTTTGTATGTGTGAGTCAGAGTTAGCAGACAGTTTTCCACATGCTGATTTTACTTCTTCACTTAATTCCAGATGAAGCGTTAATAATGATTAATAATGCTGAGTGTATCTTTAGTGTTGCAGGCATGGTGCTTTCTTTTTATTAAATGATGTCAGAATGTTTTACACAAATGTGTTCCTTGCTGTGGGAATTACTACTTTGTTCCAGGATGGAAAACAAGGTTTAATAAAAATACTGAAAATGTACAACAGACATTTCCAAAGACAGATTTAGAACAAAATGTAACAAACACTGTGTAACAGCTGCTGAAGATAGAAAATGCATTTAAAGAAAAAAAGAATGCTATCGCTTTAAGATAAGGTGCCTGCCCACTTTCTCCACACAAACAAGATCGATTTTGAGCAGACTCCTACTGTTAGCTTTCTCTTTTTTGAAGAAGAAGAGCGATTCTCACGCTGGATACAACCAACATATTCTCAATAACGGCGGTTTTTTTTTCTTCTCTTGAAATCCACCAAAACTGAAGAAAAATCCAAGTGACTGTTCTTAGCAGCTGTGTGGCCTGGAGTTCACTAGGAAAGCTGGCTTCCTGCAGTCCCCTATTCATCACCTGCTTCAAAGGCAGCCTAGCTGGCTATAGTTTGCAGGCCAGGTAGGGTGCCATTGTGCGCAGTCTGGGAGGATTAGTATCAAAGCTGCGGCAACCAGGCCCTTGGTCTCAGGCTGCCATTCAGTCTAGCAGGGAGAGGCTAAGGCTGGCCAAGGTCATCGTATCCAGTGGGGTGTGGACTGGGAAAGGATCCTGAGAATAGAACGCTTCTTATGAAACCATGGTGCAAGCTTGCAACACAGCAGGTGCTCTTCTGAAAACATACATCTGTTTATGTTGTACCATGGCTGACAATGAAATAATAGGCCTTTTAAAAAAAATGTTAAGGAAAGTTGCCTAGATATGAGTTTTTTATTTTGGAAAAATCATGATAAATCTTTTGCATTTGTGTGTGTACATGCGTGAAGAGGAGAGAAGACTGATTTAACCATTTCTAATCTGTACCACTGCTGGAGAGCAACAGCGGGATCATTTGGAATGTACACAGAATGTGACAATGCATTTTTTAAATACGTTCTGATATACGTACGAGTATTCTGAGTGTAAAGATTACCGGATTTTCTTAGTTGTCACGCATATGGAAATAAATTGCATGGAGGATTTTTTTCCACCAAGGCAAAGGTAAATTTGTGTAATTTTTAAAAGAAAAGCTGAGGTAAGAATGACGTAAAAAATAAATTAAAAACAGCTTAATTGATGAATTTGTAGGGGGGAAAATAAGCTGTAAGATGAGTTGTCATGACGACAGGGATGTTCTATTGATGAACTGTACTCCTCATTGTCCAATCAGATAGTAGAGCTGAAGCTGGAGCATGAACAGGAGAAGACGCACCTATTCCAACAGCACAACACAGAAAAGGATTGCCTGGTCCAAGACCATGAATGGGAAATTGAAAAACTAGAAAAACAGCTTCGGGCTGCCATGACAGAGCACGACAATAAAACTCTGGAATTCAGGAAGCGAGATGCGCAGGTAATAATCAATAACATTTCAGAAGTCAGAGGCTTGTTTAAAAAAAAAAATCCTGTTTCCAGTGTAGTTGTTTCACGCTGTTTGATCATTTGGAAAACTGACGTATAAACACAATTCTGCTTTTCTTTCCTTTTCTCCCTACCCCTCCCTCCCCTGCCAGTGTTGGTGGGAAAAAAATTTTAAGGGGGGGGGGGGGGGAGAGAACCACAGGTAGCCAGATTAAGAGTCCCATGGTGTGCAATAACTTGGCCTCTTATTTATAATCTTGTCTCATTTTCTTTCACGATGGATTTAAGGGGAGGAAAAGAACCCCCCCCCCGGTAAATTTACAATAATTCCCTCCTCCCCTCTCTAGGTAGATCTGTATTAATATATCTGAGTCATTCATTTTTTATTTTTAGTTTTTATCTCTGCAGGCAGCCCACAAATCGCTGTACTTAACTTCTCACTTGATTTCTTAGTATGTTCCACAATTTTTAAAAAATAGCCTGTGTGTGACTAAGTTTATCAGATGAACAGTTAAGAGACGCTTTGAATTTTGGGTTGCTTTCCATTAAGTATTTTTGTCCACCTGCAGGGACACATCCATGTGTATGTATGTTATATATAAAACCCCTCCCAGCTCCCAGCTCTATGGTCACTGTTGGAAGCCATTTGGCAGAATAACCCCCAGCTGTGGTAGCATTTGACTCTTCAGACTTATGGATGAAATGTGCACTGTCAGCATGGAAAATTATCTTTATTAGTGGTTCTGGTTTTGTTTTGTTTTTTAATCTTCTTGTCTGATTGTGTTGTTCTTTGTCTTTATATTGTGAAATGTCTAACTATAATTATTTATCTAGAATGCATGTACTATAAAAGCCCTTAAGTGAAGATATTTTAAAATTTAGAGCCTATATGGTCAAATAGGAAAATAATTATTGCTTTATTTATATGCATTAGAATGGCTTGGGTAATTTTGTACAGCTGTGGTTATCTTTGTGTGGTAGATATAACCGCCATACACTTTTTGCACATTAAATTATTTTTTCCATTCCTGTTACATGACTGGGCGCCAACATCCTTGCTATATAACCGTTTATAGTCCTACAGCAGTTGTCTATACCATATTTAAACACAATTAACAGCTTATTTTATTTTATTCTTTTGCCGCAAGTTCCAGAAGCTCAGTATTAGGTTGCTTAAAATAAAAATAAACTATAGGTGAAAGACACATTTTCTGTTTAGTTCATTTTTATTTCTATTGTTTATTTTTAAAAAGAGATATTTATGCATATTCCATAATGAGAAATTGATGGCTTTGGAGTTAGATAGCGCCCTCATCATTTGCAGAATACTCAACTACTGTGTTTTCATACTTATAGCCTGTTTTCACAGACAGCACCCCAACTGAGGTGTTAGTTCCATTAATCTTTACACAAGGAATATTCAGTATGAATTATGAGGGTGGAATATACTTACACTATTTTAATGTATATATTAATATATGAAAAGAAGCCTATTGCAATTACTAGCTTTTTCTGTGATTAGATATACCAGCGGATGCAATCCAGAGATATTTCAGTGAGCCCAAGTTCCTGTGAAATCAGTGAATTTAAGCATTTAAATATGTACTTCACTTCGACAGTAGTAATTAGCTATTCCTAGTGTTTGCTGGATTATACCAAGTTACGCATGTGACTTTGGAGTAGCAACGTTTGAGATTCTCTGATCTTTGCTGTCCTGTATGTATGTTGTGCTTGATGGCTTCAGCTGATGGGTATTTATGGGAGGGGGGTTTGCAGCAATTTTTATGTATGTGTACAGTAATTCCATAGCAATACTGCAGATCACTTTGACTTTTCTGTGACACATTTGTAAGAGAAGATCCGCTGTTGTGAAATAGTTAACAGGATATAGTAGGCAGTTGAAATGCCATATGGTAACACTGGAAATCCTTCTTTTCATTTTTATTATTCTTACTACTGCCTCAGTATAAAGTATAAAGTATATGTTCTTGATTAGGCCATTTTTCAAATTCTAAAAGGCTATCTAATAAACACCATTGTTGTTAGTGAGGGAAAGTTCCATTTGGAAAGGCCAAACCTATTAATTTGATAAAAGGTAGTGCTTTCACTGATAAAATTCTGAGACAATTTACATTTCACAAATATTCGCTTCATATATAGCCAATATAGGTTGATTTGATTTCCTGTTATCTGTTGTAGCAGTGTGAATGGTGTCAATACCAAAGCAAAAAAGCATGGCATGTCTAACAAATATAGTAAGGTTTAAATAAATACAAGGTAACATTGTTAATAAGTTTTTCTATCATCATTAAATCATTTTTGTACTACAATGGCTTCCTGTATCCTTCCACCCAACTACTTACAACATTGTGGAAGCCATTTTGTTCAGCTAGCCTCTTCAGGTAATTAGCATACTGGCAAATAAATCCTCTTCTTTACTCTGAAAGGCAAAGCTGATTCATGGTTTTCAGATTATCTTAGTTTATGAAGCTGTTTTCCATGTCTCTTTGCTATCATCACATTAAAAATGGGTATATATTTTACGTCTGGTAACTGGAATAGTTTTTTGTGAAATTTTGAAGAAAGGAAACTCTGAAGAGGTTTGTGTATTATACACATCTGTGGTCTTATATTATTTAGTCACTAACAGAATTAAAGTGGAAGATACACTGCATATCTGTTAGTGTATCAATATGGAAATTGTAGTTTTTAACAAATACTTGATGTATCCCAGAAATTATGCCAAATATTAGCTATGTTTTCAAGATTAGTTAAACTGTGGGTTTACTTAGCATATTCTTAACTTGGTTTTTTATCTAGAGAAATTGCACCTCATGCAGCTGCTAAATGATGCTGTAATTTTCATTTTCTCCTAGCATTTGGATTTCATTTGGTCATCATGAACAACATATTTTAAATCTACTGTTTATAGTTGACAGTAATAAGATTCAGAACAACAAATGTAGGTTGAGAAAGTAGGTACCATATATTTAGTTACCATAATTTACATAAGTAAGACATATAGTGTTTATATATAGTATAATTTATATATATTACCATCACTGGGTAATTTAGTTCAATGTTCTGTGCAACGTATTCAGTTTATTACTTCCCTCGACTATAATCTTGTTCTAACAAAGTAATCTTTTACAGGAAAAGAGTGATTCTCTTTTTTAAATGATATGTTGCCTTATAAGTTTGCACTTTACTGGCTGCAAATGTACCAATTTCACCATACTAGTGTTTCTTGATTTAGTTACTATCACCTTTTCCCAGTCACATGACATATGTTTTTTTCCTCTTCAAGAAGTGAACTGTGTAAAGTTTTATCTTCTTAATCCTTATTTCTTGGCTGTTTGACCTTTTTGCATACAGAAGAAAGAACTTCAGAGACAACACATTACTTAGTTGTTATGTGGTAAAATAGGTACAAAGAAAATTAAACTTTTTCTGCATTTTCTATTGCAAGGTGCAGCGCTGCCATTTTCTGCCATTCATAAATGTGTAGGCATGAAACTAAGCAGTAGAACAGTATGTAATGTTACAATGTATCAATAGCTAGAATGGTGATGTACCATTTAGTAAAGGTAAAGGTGATGTACCATTTAGTAAAGGTAAAGCTAGTCGAATCTGACTCTAGCAGGCGGTGCTTATCTCAGTTTTCAAGCCGAAGAGCCAGCAATGTCTGAAGATGTTTCCATGGTCATGTGGCAGGCATGACTAAATGCCAAGGGGCACGGAACACTGTTACCTTCCCACCAAAGCGGTACCTATTTATCTACTTGCAATTTCTTGCTTTCAAACTGCTAGGTTGGCAGGAGCTGTGGCCAGAGACAGGAGCTCACTCTGTCACGTGACCCTAGGGTCTCGAACTGCCAAACTACAGACCTTCTGGTCTGCAGCTCAGCGTCTTAACCTCTGAGCCACCGCGGCCCTAAAATAAGGTTTAGACCACCATATTTCATATACTGCCACATTCATGGAACTCTGCCCTTCAAGTGGACATATGTTGTTTCCTGGTCCAAATCCTAGTTGTTGTGCTAACTGCTCCAGTGTCTCTAGGACAAGTGCACATGCAGAAAGTGGGGAGAAGTTGCTCCCCAAAACAATATCTGAGTCACCATGACTCATACACCCCCACACTCTGGAGACTGCCTGCCATAAGAAGACACACAATCCCACCTGGTCCAAACACTGCCTTTGGCACAGGAAATAGCATAGGTCCACTTGAAAGGCAGAGTATCCTGAATGCTGGCGTGTATGATACATGATGGTCCAACCTCAGCCTCATCTTTTTCTTTAAAATGTCTGCGCTAAATCTGCTGTGCTCTTCTACAGATTCTTAAGAGTGATAGTGGTTGTCCGTTTGAGAATGGCGTTCCTGATATCTTAACATGTATTAAATAGCTATGCTTCATTTTGAAAAATTATTCTGCTTATAATGTTAACTTAAAATCCAGAACAGTAGAGATTTCAGTGAAATGTTGAGGGGGTTTTTTTGTTTTGGAAACATTTTTGAGTGGTCTGACGTAACTTCCCTTAAAGTGGAAAGTATCATAAAGGCCAGAAGTTGCCATTTAGGCATAGATTTTGGCCATCATGATTGTCAGTTCTTCTTTAGTTACTGGGTAAGAATTTCAAATATTTATTAATTGACTGAAATTATTGTGAGCTTCAGGTTCATATGACTCTCATTGCTAGGAGGACAAACGCAGTTGTTTCACTCTAAAATACAAATATCTGCCAGCACTGAACATAAAGTTTATTTTTTCATAAAAATATATCTCTGAACAGAGGATGTGTGTATTTCTGGGCTCTTTGGTCTCAGCCCTACCAACGAATTAACTTTAACCTGAAATTAGATCTAAAATTGAGTAGTGTACCGATTTAAATGAGCACACAGACTTAAGGTGATTTTAGAGTTTGGAATACTCACAGTTTTTCATTGGTCTTCTATAGCTGTTCTACACCTGTTCCTGATTTTTGCATGAT